TGGACTTTGGAATTAACGCAATATGTTTTCTTGTTTGGAATGATAAAGTCAACAATCAAATCAATATTGTGTTGAGCATCTCTGAAAGCCGGAAAGTCAATTACACACATAGTTAATGGATCATCATAAAACTTTGGTGGTAACTCCTCAATTTGTGGATTCAATGCTTGGTCCTTGTTTTTTTTTATATTGGTCTTCATCAGTTTCGTCCTCTTCATTCCCATTCCCTTTATTATCTGAATATTTATCATATTAAGCATGGTGCCTTGGTACTCTTATGTCTTGGTCAGCTTCAATCTTTTCAACTTGCTCAATATAGCTTGCACTATGCGGTTGAATTGGTGGATATCGGAATGGTAGACGTGGTGGTATCATTGGTATGGTATGTGGTGATTGAAGCACCAAACCTTCAATCAATTCAGTCAGATGCTTTATTGATTCCGTCAAACTATTTAGCTGCAATTTAATTTCTTCATTGTCTCGTTCAAGGACTATAGTTCTTAATTTTTGAATTTTTAATTGAAGATCCATTGAAGAGTATCACAAACTTGCTATTTTCTTGTTTGGTAACACGATGAATAAGACAACAAGGTAAGAATTCGGACTTGGAACTTGCGCTCTGATACCAAATTGATGTACTTTCAAGGTTTTGTACCTCAAGCACAAAGAAGAGAGAAAAACAAAAGCACTCTGCTAAAGTTTATCAAAAAACTAGCGAAAGCGTTCTTTAAACTCATCTTAGAAGAATGTAAGATGGAAAGATACCTCACACCCTCACGTTCTTCAATCCCACTAGATTGCAAGAAGCGTTGAAGAAAGAATGAACAGTGAAATAAAAAGTAAATCACGTTTTTGAAGCAAAAGTTTAGAAATACTAATCACCAATCTTTATTTTCAGCATATTAAGCCCTTTAAGTAGGCCTTACAATGAGTAAAATTGATAAGGTTAAGGAAAACTAATCCTAATTAAACTAAGGTTAAGAAAACCTATCCTAACTAAAATAGGAAAAAGAATTCTAGTAGAAATGAGATACCAACTAATAATCCTAGTTTGACTAGACCTATAAATATAATCCTTATTAAAACAAAAATTAAATTAATAGGAAACAAGAAATAAAAAATCCCAATCTTTAAGGAAAAGAAATCCTAATCTTGGATGAATTCTTAAATTTTTAACTTTCTTGATCTTGCATCACTTACCCCGTTCCCACCTTGCTCCCCAACTCCCGTCCCACTCGAGGACATGACCTTACTCCCTCAGTGGGTATTAAGTAATCACTAGCACTAAACTAGCAAAGAGCGAAAACAAATAGATATAAGCTAAGAATTCGAGAGCTTAAAAACTAGGCGCTACTACGAGTATAGTAAATCTACCTCGTTTCCAATCTACCACTATGCAAGTAGGTAGTTAAAAAATAAAGGCCAAATACATGTGCAGGCCCTTAAACTTGTCCATTTATTTCATTTAGACACTTAAACTTGGGATAGTACCTATTGAACACTTGTACTTGAGCTAATCTGTATCTATTGAGCACATTTTTTTGACTTGGCAAAGCATGCATTCTTCACTCTCTTTGAGCGCGTTTGGTGTCTCAAAAATGGGTGGTCCATTCCCTTTTACTTTTTTCTCCTTTTCTTTTCCACAGAATTCATTGGTGCTCTCTCTCCTCCTCAAAAAGGGCGTTCCAATGCCCTCTGGTTTTCCACAAAATTCATGGTTTCCACTTTTTAGTCCTCAGTGTTCTTCATTTTTAAACCCGTGTTAAATTCAAACACATTGGTGCCTAAACAATCAAAACCCATTTTTTAGAATCATTGTTCTTGCAAGATCAAAATTACTAATAAACTACCTCAACTGAAGAGCCTCGTTTAAGTATAAACAATATCACAACTTTCATATATTCTGCCATTAAAATCCAAAGACATCTAGCAAAACAGAGAACCAAACAAATCTTGCATAATATTCCTCCTTGCTTAGCCACAAGCTCAAAAAAGAGAAGCTTTTTGAGAGATACAGAAATGTCGTAATCAGTAAGCAGCTTTTTTATATCAATTCAATTATTCAATTGCCTTCTTGTTTGATGATCTTTGCCTTCGAATGAAGCAAACGTCCTCTAGATGACCTATAGATGGAAGACTCTGACGAAATCAGCATGTATTCGGTATTTTGGGGTTCGGTGACCATTGGTCCGACGAAGAAGACAATGGAGGGGAAGAAGTATTTATTTTATTTTATTATACTTATTGCCATGTGTCATTTTATCATTTGTTTTTGCCAAGTCAACTGTGCGTGAGAATCACGCGCTCATATATTATAGCGGGTTGCCAAAAATGTGCTCAATAGATACAAATTAGCTCAAGTATAAGTGTTCAATAGGTACTATCCCAAGTTTAAGTGTCTAAATGAAATAAATGGACAAGTTTAAGGGCCCGCACATGTATTTGGCCAAAAATAAAAAAAGACGATAACTTAAAACTTATGGACTCTAGTTGCAATTATAGAAAGGCAAGGAAGTGTTGTCTGCCTAGAACAATAAATCCAACTACAGGTAGCCGACGAGGCAACCAAAAATAAAGGTTGTGCAACAACAACAACCCAGTAAAATCCCACAAGTGGTGTTTGGGGGTAGTGTGTACGCAAACCTTACCCCTACCCCGGGGGAGTAGAGAGGCTGTTTCTAATAGATCCTCGGCTCAAGAAGACAAAAAGAGGCAATATATTAGTACTATCAACAAAAAACATAGAAATAATAACAGCATCATAAGAACCAGAAAATAGATGAAAAACAATAACAATAACCAGTAAATAAGGCCAGACACAATGAAAAACGGAGAATAGTGTGAACACAACATTAACCACTAGCAGTCTAAGACAACCTTTTCAGACTAGCCTTACACCTGTACAAAGTAGAAAAAATGCTCAACTACCTCCTAACCTACAACCCTAATGCTCGACCTCCAGACCTTCCTATCTAGGGCTATGTCCTCGAAAATTTGAAGCCATACCATGTCCTGTCTGATCACTTCTTCCCAATACTTCTTAGACCACCCTCTACCTCTTCTTGTACCCGCCAAAACCAATGGCTCACACCTCCTTATCGGGCCATCTGGGCTTTTCCTCCGTACGTTCACGAACCATCTGAGCCTTGCTTCCCCCATCTTGTCATCCATAGGAGCCACACTCACCTTCTCCTGGATATCTTCATTCCTAATCTTATTAATCCTAGTGTGCCCGCACATCCACCTCAGCATCCTCATTTCTGCTACTTTCATCTTCTAAATATGTGAGTTCTTAACTGGCCAACACTCAGCCCCATACAACACGACCGGTCTAACCACCGATCTATAAAACTTAGCTTTGAGTGACGGAGGCACTTTTTTGTCACACATGACTTCATATGCTAATCTCCATTTCATCCACCCACCCCTAACGGTGTGTGACATCCTCGATCTCCCCATCCCCTGGATAACTGACCCAAGGTACTTGAAACTGCCTCTCTTGGGGATGATATGTGATTCAAGCCTTACTTCCACGCCCGCTTCCCTCGGCTCCGCCGAACTCCAGGTATTCCATCTTAGTCTTGCTCAACTAGAAACCCTTAGACTCAAGGGCCTGTGTCCAAACCTCCAGCCTCTTGTTAATGCGGCCTCGCGTCTCATTAATTAGAACTATGTCATCGGCGAATAACATACATCATGTCACCTCCCTTTGAATGTGGCGTGTCAGTGCGTCCATCACCAAGGCCAAAAATAAAGGCGGTATTAAACACAATCAAAGTTTGCCGGCGAGGCAACAGGGAGGAACAGAATCACGGTTATGCACGCAAATATGAATGAGCGAAACAGGTAACAATTGCTCAAGAAAGATAGGGCCTAAAATCAAGTATACAAAACAAGCAAGTTATGTCTACCTAAGCAATTACTCCAACGACAGGTTGTCGCCGAGGCAACCAAAACTAACTGATGTAAACACACTCAACAATTGTCGGCAAGGCAACCGGAAAAAATGCCCGCAACTATGATTCAAGAAAGATGGAACCTGGATTATAGTCGGAGATCTCCCAATGCACTGCTATTGCTGCCTGCCAAACATCATCTCGCCGGTGCTCGAGCCTGGTTAAAGTCGTCTCCACTGCGCTGACCAAGATAAAATACAAGTGCACGTATCCAACAAAAATAAAAGGAGAGGAAAAAAAGGGGTCTAGGATTTTCCTGGTTGCAGCAGTTGCTGCGCAAAAAGGGGAGAGGGAGAAACAGCAAGGAGATTGCCGGCGGTCTTGGGTATCGGGGCAAAAGGAAGGGTCGAGCGGGTGAAAGAGAAGACGCGAGGAGGTGAAACAGAAGCTGGAAAGAAAGAAAAGGGGAGAGAAGAGAGGGGTCTGCTACCCACCACACCTACGCCGGCGACTGGTACTGGGAAAGAAAATGGGAAGGGGCGGAAAGGGAGGAAAATAGAGAGAAGGGAAGAGAAAGAGCGTGGAGAGACAAAGAAAAGAGAAAACGAGAAGAAGAAAGGGAGGGGGGGACCTTACCTGTGCATGCGCTGATGAGAGGGGTTGACGCCGAAAATCGACCGGCGTGTGTGTGTGTGTGAGAGAGAGAGAGAGAGATTTTTTTTTTTGGTGATAAAAAAAAAGTTCAAAGTTGCTACTATTTGGTCCAATTATGCTAAATTCACTGAAATTCCGGTTAGCTTGTTAGAATTGAGGCGCCAAATTCATATGAAAAGATGCAGCTTTGTTAATGTATTAAAGTTGTATGTAGTCCTTGAAGGGGAATTATCCTTGAGATAGAAATATGCAGCCGTCAACTTGTATGATATTTTCATCTCTTCCCTAAATTAAGTGAGGAGGATAAACTCAGTAATTTGCTCCTCTATTATGCCCAAGTAATTTTTTTGATCAACTTTCTTTTTTTCTTTTTGGCAGAGTACTAACCTTTTAACGTATGTTTTCCAAGCCTTAGAGGCTTCTTTCTAAGCTGTTGTCTTTTGGATGTAGCTTGTCCCCTGGAATTCAAGCAGCCATCTGAAGTGATCAATGCATGCAGAAATTTAGCTGCTCCAAGTCCTTCATGTTGTAGCTCGTTAAATGCTTACATCACAGGGATACAGAAGCAAATGTTGATCACAAATCGGCAAGCAATTTTGTGTGCTGCTGTATTTGGTTCTATGTTGCAGAAGGCTGGAGTTATGACAAACGTTTATGAGCTTTGTGATGTTGACTTGAAAGATTTTAGTCTCCAAGGTGATTATTCATTTTGTGATTTTGTCCATGTATTTATGTCTCTTGTTTCTTCGAGCTGACATTTGTGTTCTTTTCACCTGGCTTCTGTTTGCTGTGGAGCAGCGTATGGGCAAGAAGGTACAGATTCTCTTTTAGAGTCCGAGTTTGGAAGTTGATTCGTAATGTGTAATTAGAGAATACTGAGCTATAGTTTGAATTGTAACTATAATGTGTTATTAAGAAGTATTGGGTGGGTATTACCAATCAAAAATAAAATAAAATTGGCTGGGTGTTCATCAAGCTTAAAAACTGTGTAAGAAACTTATGCACTAACATGGATATTGATATAAGTTGTGGAGACCCCATGAACATCTGATCCGACTCTGGGTCTGGATATCAGTGCATATCTCCAAATGGAAGATTTGCAATTTTAGGTTGAGAAATAGTATTGAAAATATCTTATGAAATTTTGTGTCTTGTACAGCTTAATGATACCCCCTCTTTGTGCTCTAGTGCTGTTTTTTGTCTGATATGAGAAAAGACACTCAGTTGCCGTGCATTCCTGATAGATTCTATGAAATGTTCTCGCTGTCCACATCTTCTGTTGGAGGGGGGGGGGGGGGTTAGGTTTGAGACCAGATTGAATCTTTCCTAACAGTGTGGATCTAACACTCAGTTGATGCGCATTCCCCATAATTTCTGTGAAATGTTCTCTATCCACATCTCTGTTGGAGTGGCGTGGGGGTGGAGAGTAGATTGAATCATCCTAACAGAGCGGATCTACTCTAATCAGATTAACAATTTCTTTAAGAGGCTTATTCGTGATATCAGAATGTCGTTTTCGATGTCCGGAGTTTAGCCATAAAATCAACAGAGCCATTTCCTTATCTATAAGTATCTCTAGTTATGTACATGCCCCTTAGCATAAGAAGTTAGGATCGCACACTATTTGCACATATTCGGTCATGAGAACTTAAAGGTTCTGATTTAGGTTCTTGGGATCTGGAAATTATGTATGTATCTGCTGTTAATGAGAAACAACTTAAAGTTTATAACTCTCTTTGGCTTTAGATTTATATGGAACTGCATGTTACTGTACTGGCATTTTGTTGATGGAAACAGTTTGTGTTTCCAAAGCACAATGCTTATATATTCTTGGTCTAGTTTATACTGATGAAGTTGTTCAAATTAATGAAGCAGGGTGCTTGCTTCGAAGCTTGCCAGCAGATCTGGTGTATGACAATTCAACAGGCTTCAGCTTTACTTGTGACTTAAATGACAATATTGCTGCTCCATGGCCTTCATCATCGTCGGTGACATCCTTGTCTCTTTGTGCTCCTGGTAACTGACTGAAAATTGGCCATCTTTTTTTGCTGATTCCACAAAAGTCAGGAGAATAAAATGAGGCTTGTTTTTACAGAATACTCTATAGCTAGTGTCTCTGGCTAAATACCGTCTTTTACTGAATCACTTGAATTTGCAGAAATGTCTTTGCCAGCTTTACCAACATCACAGACATTGGGCATTTCTGGTGAGGATCTTTCAGTTCCTAGCTTGTTCTTTATGCTCTTCGTTGGAAAATGAGTTAATGTTAGCCATTGGATAGTCTTGTATCCTTATCACGAGGGAGGGAGGGGTTGCAGATGGTGTTTAGCTATGCCATAATGTTATGAGGTCTCAAGGTCGATTAACGGAGTTTACCTCTTTGTAGGAACCAATTTCTTTATTTTGAGCTGAAAATATGATACATGTGTTGTTGCCATGATTGCAGGTTGTCACCTGGGTAGAGTGCATTTCTTTGTGCCCACTCTTCTGTTTTTTGTTTCAGCATTATTGTACTGAATAGAGCCCATAGATAGACAGACACTGGTGGCCAGATCCGATGTATATTTTTGAGTATCCTCATGTATAGCTGCTGTATTTTGCTTACTTATTCGTGCTTTTGCGATAGAGATTGTCTGAAAAATTGCATGCAATGTGCAATTTATTCTTCTGCTCTTGCAATCTTTGGAAAGATGTTCAAAACTCCACTTAATTGAGCAAGGTCAAACGGAAAAATTCAATCTTATTCTATTATCTCCGCGTGAAAATAAAGAAAAACATCATTGTGCAACTGCAAATAAACTATGACGCCTAGCGTGGAATGTATTTGTAGTTGAACGAGCGATGTCAAGAACATGCTACAAGGAGAAAGGATGAGGTGGAGAGAGGAAAGTATGGCAACGTGTACTACTTGATAGCTGACATGTGGTAAGTATTGCTAAGTCACCATCCTGCAAAGCAAAGTGGAAGGTCAGGAAGAAGGCTCCGAGTTGTCTATACTAAGGACAAGTAGGGACTTTCCACAAGTTCATTTTGAGTTTCCAGAGAGGTGATCGAGTGTTCGAAAAAATATTTACTACAAGTGTCTTGATAGCGGTCATTAGGTTTCAAAATATCTGGGATTCGATATTAATTTAGTGGTTAAAAGAGTCATCATTAAATCGTTAGTTACAAATCCTTCAGACGTAATGATCGACCAAAATTAATGTTCGTAACAGCTGCGTGATTCACAGAAATGGCTACTTAGATCAGACACTATAAATACTACTAGTATTTAGCCACTTTGCAGGGCATTCGAACATGTGCTTCCTAGGCAAGCTAACATTAGCTAAATGATTAAAGCAGTATAATAATTTAAAAACATAATAATAAGAAATAAAGAGCAAAATCTCGTAAAATGCATAATAAATCCATAACTATCGCTGTCTAAGACTATTCCGTGAATCTAGTGTCACAAGTACATGAGCCACTAGAATACTACATATAAAGTCTGAAAGGTAATGCAAAATCTGTCTGATAGAATAGGTCCGAGCAATCACCTCTGAATGCTGCTAGGACCAATATTGGGATCTGTACAAGAAGTGCAAAAATATATTATGAGTACAACTTATCTCATGTACTCAGTAAGTATCGAGCTTAAACCCGACGAGATAGTGACGAGACTATGATAAGACACTCACTAAAAATTTGTACGAATAATAAGCAGAGAAGCAATAACAATGGAGAGAAACAAATAACAACATAATGAACAAAATAAAATAAATAGATATTAGAGGGCCCCAGAATAACATCACATTGCAACCTCAAAACACAACACGGTAACAGAGCATAACAACAAGAATAACTACATAACACCCTTTTCGTTGTGGCTCGCAACCTGATCCCAAATATCAATAACAATATAAATACCGTTGAGGCGCGCAATCCGATCCACTATATATAGCGATATTGTTGCTGCGTGCAACCCGATCCAATATATAATAATACTGTTGCGGAGTGCAATCCAATCCGATATATATAATAATACTGTTGCGACGCAGTCCGATCCGATATATTTAATAATACTGCTGTGGTGCGTAATCCGATCCGATATATCAATAACAACCAAATACAATGAATCTCACAACATAACATGAAAGAGAACTAAAACACATAATTAATCCTCTAAGGCAATCCGATATAACATAGTAGAGTGATACAAAAAACAAGTAAAGTCAATAAGGCGTGTAAAGACATGAGAGAGGTAAAAATATCTATTTAATATCATATAAATGCACATAACAATTAAAAATATGTAATAAGGGAATACATATATAGCAAGTAAAACATGCATCAAGTATGAGCACCTAACAAGTAAAATATGAATTAAGCAAAGATATGGTATACTTAAAGACGTAAAATAAGTAATACACCCCCACCCCCATGCTTAAACCCATGACAACAGATATACACTCACCACCTTGCATATATGCTGCCCTCACATATGGATCACGTAGTAAATAGATCAATCATGTCCTAATTCCCTCAAATCAAGGTTAACCATGATACTTACTTTTTTTCAGAACAAGATCAACAACTCAACATGACTTCCCCTTTAGAACAAACTTCCAAACCACCCGAATCTAGTCAATTATTGTTCAAACAAGCTTTAGAAACTACATTCGTACGAAAAAATTGATTTTTATCATGTTTGGAAAAGTCAACAAAAAGTCAACTCAGCCCACGTGGTCGAAATCCCAAAATAAGGCCAAATCCCGATTACCCATTCATCCCCGAGTTCAAATATGTGATTTGTTTCGAAATTTGACCTTAATTTGAGGTCTGAATCTCAATTTTATAAAATTCCTAAATTCCACCAAAAATATCAATTTCTTCCATATGAAACCTAAGATTTGATAATGAAATTCATGAAAAACTAATGAAAATTGAATAAAAACAAGTTAAAGTTACTGACCTATGAAGTTGGGAAGAAATTGCTCTTCAAAAATCGCCTCTATGGAGCCTAGATTTAAAAAATGGTATAAATGAGCTAAGTCCCAAAATTTTCACATTTTACCCAGCTGTAGGTATCGCAATTGCGAAGTCCGCACATACGAGCAGCTAGTTGCAATTGCGAACCATCCCCAGAGCTTCCAATATCGCAAATGCGATGCATTGATCGCAATTGTGATCCTGGGTTGTCCGCAAATGCGAACTCAGCTTCGCAAATGCGAAACTGCCCTAGACTCTTTCAGTGTCGCAATTGCGACTTGAACTTCGCAAATGCGAAGGCTATATACTTCGCAAATGCGAACTTAGCTTTGTAGCCGTCCCGCTTCCCAATATCGCAAATGCAAGCAGGTCCTCGCAAATTCTAGGTTCGCATTTGTGAATAGAACCTCGCAAATGCGAGACATACAACCCAATTACACCAACACCTTCAGTTATGCAAAAACAACCGCAACCCATCTGAAACTCATCCGAGCCCCTCAGGCTCCAATATGAACATTCACACATGTATATTAACATCATATAAACTCGCTCGCAAGCTCAAATCATAAAAATAACATCTAAAATCAAGAATCGATCATCAAAACTCATAATTTTCAAAGTTCAAACTCAAATTTCCAATTTTCTGCATAAAGCGCCGAAACGGCTTCGGGTCACTCGGGACCCCAACAAAACATGCATACAAGTCCAAAATCATCATATGAACCTACCCAAATTGTCAAAGCAGTGATCCACGACCGTTTACCAAAAAGGTTGACCGTTTAACTCTAATCATTTTCAAAGTCAAAAATCATATTTTCTTTAAAAATTCACATTTAAACTTTTCGAAAATTGACAGAGACCATGCATGCAAGTCATAAAACATCAAATTGGGACCCCAATAAAATATGCATACAAATCCAAAATCATCATATGAACTTACCCGAATCGTCAAAGCAACGATCCGCGGTCATTTACCAAAAAGGTTGACCGTTTAACTCTAATCATTTTTAAAGTCAAAAATCATATTTTCTTTAAAAATTCACATCTAAACTTTCAGAAAATTGACAAAGACCATGCATGCAAGTCATAAATTATCAAATCGGGACCCCAACAAAACATGCATACAAGTCCAAAATTATCATATGAACCTACCCGAATCGTCAAAGCAGCGATCCACGGTCGTTTACCAAAAATGTTAACCAGTTAACTCTAATCATTATCAAAGTCAAAAATTATATTTTCTTTAAAAGTTCACATTTAAACTTTTCGAAAATTGACAAAGACTATGCATGCAAGTCATAAATCATCAAATTGAACTATGAAGGTCTTGAAACGTAAATGGGATGGGGGATAATACTCAGAACGACCTATCGGGTCGTTACAATTCAAGGATACTAACAATTTTTAGTAAATTTTTATCAATTTAAACTTTTAATATGGCTGGAGATTTTCCAATCAACACAACTGAGAATAACCAAGTTGGAGATGACTCTACCGAGTACAATAAAATGATGGAGTGCATTTCCCCAACTCTCTCTGAGGAATTCCTCTCTGCATCGTTCTAAGGAACCGTCATATGAACGAGTAACTGGAGAAGCATTTGAAACCTTAGAGTTGACGGAATTCATACATACATAGAGAGCCTATATTAATAAATTAATAAGTACATAATGAATAAAGGTAACTATGAGTGCTAGGTCACTTGCGTTACCAAGAATCGATCTTACTACTCTAACTACTGCACCCCAAAATTCTGGTACTGTGGGAATCCCATATGGAGCCGGAGTGGAAGGTTCAGGTACAACTGATAATTTAGATTTATAAAATTTAATTTTATTCCTGCAGAAATATCTCAAGGAGAAAGGTGAACTTATCGAGAAAATACCCGAACTCTCACCCATAGCCAAAGGAAATCGATATGGACAAATACTCGCAACATTCTTAGAAAGCGAGTGACACTCCGTTATCAATTCCAAAGTAATTTAAGGTGACGAATATTCCAAAGTATGACGGGATTCAGATCCCCGGATTATGTCATAGCATATATGATAGGAACCAAAGGAAAGTATTTGACAAAATCAAAGATTGAACCAGTACTCGAAAAGAAGTTTGGAGAAACAATCATGAAAGGAGCGATAACTTGGTATACTGTCCTTCCTAAAAATTCGATTAGCTCTTTTTTCGAGATTGAAAAGGCCTTCATTAAGGCACATACCGGATCCTAGAAAGTCGAAGAACAAATGGAAAATATCTTCAAATCTAGCAAGGGAACACTGTGAAACTCCATGAATTCATTGAGCATTTTTAGAGAGAGAGAGAGAGAGGGGGGG